AATTCAGAAAAGAGTTAGAAATATTGAAGAATACTCAGGCTGAAATGAGGAAGGAAGTGAAACACTCAGTAATCCAATTAGAAATGACAGGAGAAAGCCTCATCAATAGGATGAATGAAATGGAAAACAGACTATCAAGACTGGAAGACAGAGTAGATGAATTAGACCACTGAAACAAAGATTATGAAAAATTTAAGAAAACACAAGAATGGAATATGCAAGAATTGTGCTGTTGTGCCCAGTTCGAGAGACCCCAAAGACCACCAAGGAGCCGACTGATGCAAACACACAAGGGTTCTTTATTGTTGCAAGCTTAAGCTTGGGCCCAGTCTGTCACCAACTTGGTGGATCTGAGATGTGAGACCCCTTGCTTTGGGAGACAGAGGTTTTTATAGGTTTATTTCAGCAAGTTTAGCAAGTAGGGGAGTAGGGGGTCTTCAGCCTGGCAAGCATCTGATTGGATGCATCTCAGTGCCAAACCATAAACTGCTAGCTTCAGGAAATCTGAAAAGATATCTGGAGTTTTAGTACCTTCCTGTACCTGGGTAATTGACCATTGGCAGGGGAGTTGTTCTCTATCCATTCCAAATATTGTGGTTTTTCTTGGAACAGGGCCCAGGACTGGATCAGTCCTATGGAGGTTTTATCCAAGATGGAGTCACTTAGGTCTCTCATTCCCCCCTCTGACTAGTAGCTTGAGGGCCCAATTATGTGCACTCCCTCATCTCATGTTCTTCATCACCCAGACTCTGGAGGGAGCGATAGTGGGTCTGCATTACCATTAGCTGTATAGCTCCCAGCCGCTCTTTTATAAAAGCTACCAATTTATTTACTATGCAAGGCCCAAAAGTCAAGAGCATAATCAGAAAGAGGAGGGGTCTGAGTAAGGTTGAAATCAAAGTGGTCAACCAAGGGGAGCTATTGAACCAGGATTCAAACCATCCTTGTTTAGCCCTATATTCGCTCTCTCTTTGAGCCAGACTTTCTCTAACCTTGGCCAGAGATTCTCTGATGACCCCAGAGTGAGCCACATAAAAATAACACTCTTCCTTAAGGGCAGCACAGAGGCCTCCCTGCTGCAAGAACAACAGGTCTAGGCCTCCCCTATTCTGCAGAACCATTTCTGCCAAGGAGGTTAGGGATTCTTGTAAATGGGAAATAGACTTTTCTAAGTTCTGGATATCCACGTCTATTGCAGCTCTAAGGCTATGGTAGTTTTGGCTTTGTAAAGTCAAGGCTGAAATTCCAGTACCTGCTCCTGCCAGTCCCAATCCCAAAAGAACGGATAGGGTGATGACAGTAACAACTTCTCTTTCCTGGAGATTACGGTGAAGGAGTCCTTACCTGGTCAGGGCCCTATTTATATCCTGGTCTGAGTGATAAATAATTCTAGGGACTAGTTGTACTAGAACACAAAAATATGATGATTGATTAAGAACTTTAGAATGGACACATGGGGTTAATCCTGAAGTACATGCCCACCATCCTTGATCTGGTGGTATCAAGTACGACTTATTGGCCAGCACTGGCAGAGTCTGATGGCATAGGGCAGTGTACTCATGAGGGGGCTTGACTACACATAGTCCTCATCCTGAAACATCTTGTAATGTAAGCCTGATTCCTTCCTGCTGAGCCCATCTACAGCTGCCTTGGTCTGGCACTAGGGTGGTGTTTCCTATTAATGCAATCCCCTCATAGTATGGTGGCCTTGATGAATAACATAGCCAGTATGATGAGGTGAGGTCTGGCCTGGTATCATTGAGTACCTGGTAAGTCTGGACCATTAGTGACCAAAGCGGTCAGTGTTGCCTATAGGAAGGTCATGGCTATCAGAATAGCGATTATTTGAGGGGGCCGCTGTGATTGACAAGATTGATTCTGGGGTGACCTTTAAAACAGCACCTGGTCCCAAAGGGACCAAATGGGTCTGGTACTGAGGAACTCTTACTCTAAATCGAATAGAGAATAAAGTTCCTGGATCTGGTTCAGTCCAGCCCACATACAGCCTTATTCCCCAAATTTTTCCTGCTTCCCAGCCAGTGGCTCTCTTTCCTTCTTCAGTAAAACTAATATTGAGCCTACCATTTTTATGAGGATTAGTGGGTATCAGTTGCTCCCACATTACCTTAATAAGATCTCCTCCCTGAGGGGTCCACAATATGTGTCCCGTTGTTTCACAGCCCCATCAAGCACAATAAGTAGCACTATCCTCTCCACACCTGTTTCTCTGGGACTTATATTTTGGAGTTCCAGGCCCTGGGCAAACATAGAACTGGCCTGGCTTTCTATATGGGCCTGGGGAGTTAGTTAGAGCATTAGAATGTGCACCTCCCTTAGTATTGAAATCAAAGAAGGCATCTAAACGGGAGTGCAGAGTTGGGAACCAAGTAGCCAGAGGCGCTACTTCAGAGATCTGAAACAATATATTACCTCCTATCACATCTTGGAGGACCCAAGTCAGATTCATAGGTTAACGCAGGCTTCCCAGAGCAGGAGCGGCTATCATGGGGAACAGAGTATATACAGTCAACAGTTTGAAAATCGGGTGAGCTTTAGCTTGAGTGGATTGTTGGGGTCCTTTAAAACTCTCCATCCTGAAGCTGGGGATGCGCAGCCCGCTATGGCGAAAGGGTCAGCTGGCCATACATGTGTGTAGTAGATCCACAATGCTACACCATCCACTTTGGGGGCTGTGGGGGTGGTCAGTAGGATGACATAGGGCCCCTTCCATCGTGGCTAAGGATCTTTGCCGATGCCTCTTAACATAGACCCAGTCACCAGGTCGATATTGATGAGGTTCTGGAGGAGGTCCTTCCAGGTTTTACCCCAGTGAAATCCATTTCCCAATAGGCTCCAGGTTTTCTCCCTTGAAGTCTGATTCCTGGGTTTCTAATATTTGGCACTGCATTAGTGAGTTGGCAAGACTTACAGCCATTGACAATGTCTTTAATCTTTAAATTAGCCTCCTTGATTTTTACTTCGGCATGTTGAATTAAGTCCTGCATCCTCTTGATGGCCATGTGGGAAGAACTGTGTGTTTTTGCCAACATTTGTTTGCCTAATTTTTCCGGGAGGATCAACTTCCCTTCTGCTGACCTCCACCATCCTTCCAGGCATTGGGTCCTCGGCAGTCCCTTTATCCATTTCAGGTCCTCCCCAGTGTATTTGGGCTTTTCTGGGAGATTTGGGTCACCTGGGTCAATTAGTGTGGTGATGAAGATTGAGTCAATTTGGAGAGCAGCCTGTTTAGCAGCCTGATCTGCTCAATTGTTTCCTTGGGAAATCGGATCGTCCCCTTTTTGATGACCTGGCAGTGGATAATTGCCAATTTCTTTGGCAGCCAGAGAGCCTTCAACAATGTTAAGATTTCTTCTTTATGTTTGACAGTCTTTCCCTCTGCCATTAATAAGCCCTGTTCCCGATATATTGCCCTGTGAACGTGCACGGTGGCAAAGGCATATCGGCTGTCTGTATACACATTAAGCTTTTTGTCCTTTCCCAAACCAGTGCCTTAGTTAGGGCAATAAGTTCAGCCTTTTGGGCCAAAGTGCCAGTGGGCAGAGGGTCTGCTCAAATGATGCTGCTTAATGATACTACAGCCGCCCCTGTATTCCTCTTGCCATCCTGGACAAAGCTACTGGATCAGTGAACCAGGTTACTTCAGCATCAGATAACGGGATATCTCTCAAATCTGATCGGGTACCCTGGACATGGGCCAGGATTCTGGTACAATCATGCAAGGGGACATCCAATTCTGGGTCCGGCAAGAGTGTGGCGGGATTCAAGGCAACTCGTACATGGAAGATGATTCTAGCAGGATTAAGAAGTAATGCCTGATAATGAGTTATACGGGTGTTACTTAGCCATCTGTCTGGAGGCTGCTTTAAAACTCCTTAAATTGCATGTGGTGATGGTCAAATTCTGGCCCAAAGTCAGTTTGTCAGCATCTTTTACCAGTAGCACTACCGCAGCAATAATATGGAAACATGGGGACCAGCGTGCAGCCACTGGGTCCAGTTTTTTAGACAAATAGGTTACAGGAGAGCGCCATGGACCAATTCGTTGGGTCAAAACTCCCTTGGCCACACCCTTATTTTCATCCACAAACAAATGGAATGGTTTAGTCACATCAGGTAGCCTGAGGGCAGGGGCAGACAGTAAGGCCAGTTTTAATGCCTCAAATGATTGTTGGTGAGCTTCTGTCCAGGAGAATTCTCCTGGCCTTTCCTTAGTGGCCTCATATAGGGGCTTAGCAATCTCAGGAAAACCCAGTATCCAAAACCTGCAGAACCAGATGGACCCTAGGAACTCTCTTACTTGGTGTGGGCTCCTTGGGGTAGGGATCCTGAGGACAGTTTCTTTTCGGGCATCAGAGAGCCAGCGCTTACCTTCTTTGAGTATATAGCCCAAGTATTGGACTTGTTGTTCACATAGTTGGGCCTTCTTAGCAGAGGCCCAATAGCCCAGGCTTCCCAACATCGGCAACATGCGTTCTGTGCCATCCATGCAAGCCTCTTGGCTGTCTACCACCACAAGTAAATCATCCACATACTGCAAGAGACTGAGGTGGGATGCTGAACCTGATATTCACCCAGATCCTCATGTAATGCCTCATCAAAAATGGTCGGTGAGGTTTTGAACCCTTGGGGAAGCTTAATCCACATTAATTGTCCATTAAGTCCTTTGTCTGGGTCATACCACTCAAAGGCAAAATAATCTTGACTCTTTGGGGCTAAGGAAAGGCTAAAGAAGGCATCTCTTAAATCCATAACCATATACCATTGATGTTCTGGCGGGAGTGCACTTAATAAAGTATAAGGATTAGGCACTGTAGGGTGAATGTCCATCACCTTTTTGTTCACTTCCCGCAGATCCTGGACTGGCCTATAATCATTGGAACAGGGCTTCTTTACTGGCAGCAGGGGAGTGTTCCATGCTGACTGACAGGGCCTTAAAACCCCTGAATCCAATAACCTCCTGATATGAGGAGTGATGCCCAATCAGGCCTCCAAGGATGTTGGATACTGATGAATTCTGGCAGGATCAATGCCTGGTTTTAGTTCCACAAAGATTGGAGCCCGATGTTTAGCTAACCCCAACCCTCCGGTTTCGGCCCAGGCTGAGGGGAACCTCTCCATCCAAGCCTCAATGGCTGAATCTGGTGTCAGGGTGGGTTCATATAAATGATATCCATCCATCAAGGTAGTGGTCAACACAAGGACGGGCTCTCCTGATTTGTCTAATATTCGAGTATCTTCTGACAAGAAATGTATCTGGGCTCCTAATTCTGTCAACAAATCCCGCCCCAGCAAGGGGTATGGGCATTCTGGTATGACCATAAAAGAATGGGATACCCGGCCCATTCCCAAATCCACTGTTCTTTGGGTAGTCCATGGATATTGTTTCATTCCCATAGCCCCCTGGACCCATGATACTTTGTTTAACAGGGGATCATCGGACTTGAGGAGCACTGAGTGTTGGGCTCCTGTGTCCACCAAAAAACTGGTGGGTTTCCCCTCCAACTTTAGGGTTACCTTATGTTTGGGGAGGGGGGCCAAACCCCATCTCCCCTAGTTACTATCTCCTGTCCCACAGTTGAGTACCTTGGCAGGCCCTTTCTTATTGGGGCATTCTCTAGCCCAATGGTCTTCTTCTTTACAATATGCACACTGATTTTTCCCTAGTTGAGATCTCCCTCTTTTCTGAAAGTCTTCCTTACCTCCTTTCCCTGACACTATTTGTCTAAGACGCCTCTGCCGGTCCTCTGGATCCACAGTAGCAGCCAGCAGGATCCTTCCCTGGTCCTTGTTCTGCCTCCTTTTTGCCTTTATCTGTTTTTCCTCTGCACTATCCCTATTATTGTACACTTTCTCAGCCACAGTTATCAAATCCCTTAAGCTCTTCTCACCCAGTCTCTCCACTCTTTGGAGGTTTTTCTTTATATCCGGAGCTGACTGGTTAACAAAAGCCATGGCTACTGCTGCTAAATTATCTTTGGCCTCTGGTTATAATGGAGTGTACCTCTGGAAGGCATCCATTAATTGCTCCAAGAATGCAACTGGGCTTTCATTTAGTTCCTGACTAATATCGTATACATTTGCCAAATTAGTTGGCCTACGAGCAGCCGCTTTGAGACCTGCTAACAGAGCCTGGCAGTAAACCAGAAGCCTCCCCTTACCTTCTGCAGCATTATAATCCCAATCAGGCCAGGTTAGTGGATAGGCAGCATCAATAAATGTTGGGTCAATAGTAGGGACGCCAGTATTGCCAGGAATTAACTTCCTGGCTTCTGTTGGATATGTTCCCTTTCCTCTTTGATGAACAGGACCAGTAATAATTGATGACAATCATCCCAAGTGGGTTGGTGTGTGAATAAGACAGTTTCTAATAAATTACTAAGCTCCTTAGGATTTTCAGAAAAGGGAGCATTCTGGGTGCTCCAGTTGTAAAGGTCACTAGTGTTGAATGGCCAATAGTGATGGGGCTGGTTGCCACCCTCATCTGCAGGGCCGGTGACTCTGAGGGGTAGAACAGTAGAGTCTGGACCCTCCAGTGTTGCTGCCCTTCTACTCCTAGTCCCCTGAGCCAGTGCCCCCTGTACCTGTGAAGAATCTGGTACCAGGGGTGCCGGTTCTGGAGGGGGTACCTCCTGTGGAGGAGGTGGATAAGGAGGGGGAGGAAAAATTAGATCTTCTTCTGTGCTACCCTATAAGACAGGGTACAGTGATGATACTGATGGTTTGGTTTCAGGTTTAGGTGTTTCTGGGTTGTCATTTTCCATTCTGAATCCGTTATCACCTCAATTTTCAGATCCAAATGTCCCACACGTGGTTGAAGAATAATTTTCTCAACTGCGTTAATGACAACAGGATCAAAGGTCCCCTCCGAGGGCCATCCCACACTGAAAGTGGGCCATTCAGACCTGCAGAAAGTAATTAGTTTATTCTTCCTGACAACAACAGAGAGGTTATGGGCTTGAGTCTTAACTTCTCCAAAATGTGCAAGAACTAGGTCCAGGGGTGTAGAAGGAGTCTGTCCCATTGTGTCCATCTCAGTCACAGAGAAATAGACAACCAAAGACAAAACAGAGAAGCAGAAAGACACACAGAAGGCCAAGTAGCAAATTCCCCCCCTCATGTGGAAGAAAAACTGACAGTAGGACAGCGGCAAATTGCCATGCCATGGGAGCAAACTGCCTTGTAATTTCACAGAAATCAACAGAGTCCAGGGCCCTCTGTCCCCTCTGCCAAGGTCTGGAATGTCTTCCAGACCTCTGTGGTCATGGTCTCTAGTGCGTCCGCTCCAACCGCTCCTGACTACACTGTTCACAGGTTTGCCTCAAGGCTCAGAACAAAAAGCTACGACAGACACAGACAGGTACAACTAGAAACAAACAAACTCTTACTGGCCAGCCAAGAACCCTCCAGTTCAGGGGTCCTAGGGGTCTTGGGGATCCAGCAGGAGACCCCAAGATGTTGTGCCCAGTTCAAGAGACCCCAAAGACCACCAAGGAGCCGACCGATGCAAACACACAAGGGTTTTTTTATTGTTACAAGCTTAAGCTTGGGCCCACTCTGTCACCAACTCAGTGATCTCAGATGTGAGACCCCTTGCTTTTGGAGATAGAGGTTTTTATCGGTTTATTTCAGCAAGTTCAACAAGTAGGGGAGTAGGGGGTCTTCAGCTGGCAAGCATCTGCTTGGTTGCAGCTTGGTGCCAAACCATAAACTGCTAGCTTTAGGAAATCTGAAAAGATATCTGGACTTTTAGTACCTTCCTATCCCTGGTTAATTGACCATTGGTGGGGGAGTTGTTCTCTATCCGTTCCAAGTATTGTCGTTTTTCTTGGAACAGGGCCCAGGACTGGGTCAGTCCTATGGAGGTTTTATCCAAGATGGAGTCACTTAGGTCTCTCAGTGTGAAACCATAAAAATACCAAACTTACAAATCATAGGCATACAGGAAGGAGAAGAATCTCAGCATAATGGTATGGACCAGATCTTCAACAGGATTGTAGAAGAAAAATTCCTAAAATTAAAGACATGCCCATACAAATACAAGAAGCATATAGAACACCATATAGACAGGATGACAGGACCAGAAGAGAAACTCTCCATGGCACATCATAGTAAAAACTCTAAACGTACAGAACAGACAATACTGAAAGCTGCAAAAGAAAAACTACAAGTCACATATAAAGGAAAACCCATCAGGATTACAGCTGACTTTTCAGTGCAAACTATGAAAGCCAGAAGAGCCTGGACCAAAGTATTCCCTGTTCTAAATGACCATCGATGCCAACCCATATTACTTTACCCAGCCAAAATGTCTATTATAGTCAAAGGGGAAAGAAAAACCTTCCATAACATAAATAGGCTGAAAGAATTCATGTCCACAAAAGCAGCCCTTCAGAGGGTTCTTGAAGCAACACAAAGAGCTGAAGAAGGGAACAACTATACCCAAGGGGTTATGGAAAGAAACTTACTGAAGGTTTAACTATAGAAATTCACAGCTACACCAAGAATGTAAACAGAAATAAAAATGACAGGAATCAGTAGACATCTTTCATTAATAACTTTAAATATCAGTGGACTGAACTCCCCAGTCAAAAGACACAGACGTTGGAATGGATGAAGAAACAAAACCTGCCTGGCCTCTTTTTGTTGTCTGCAAGAAACTCATCTCACTTTCAAGGACAAGTACTACCTTAAGGTAAAAAGATGGAAAAAAATATACCAAGAAAATGGTACTAAGAAAAAAGCAGGCGTTGCAATTCTAATATCTGACAAAATACACTTTAAACTAAAACTAATCAGAAGAGATGAGGAAGGCTACTTCATTCTGATTAAAGAAAGGATGGGAAAAATATATACCAAGCGAAGGGTACTAAGAAAATAGCAGGCATTGCAATTCTAATATCTGATAAAATAAACTTTAAACTAAATCTAATCAGAAGAGACAAAGAAGGCCACTTCATTCGTTCAAAGGAACAATAAACCAAAAAGATATTACAATCATGAATATATATTCACCAAACTCTGGTAGACCCAACTTCACAAAAGCAGTGCTACAGGACTTTAAGACCCAGATTAATCCCAACTCATTAATAGTAGGGGACTTCAATACCCCATTGTCTCCATTAGATAGATCAAAAGGATGGAGAATTAACAGACATCTGAATTAAACAATACCATATATCAAATGGACCTAACAGATATCTACTGAATATTCCACCCAAGCACCAAAGGATATACTTTCTATTCAGCACCTCATGGAACCTTCTCCAAAATCAACGATATACTGGGGCACAAAACAAACCTCAACAAATACAAAAAGATTAAAATAATTCCATGCATTATATCATACCACATTGCAATAAAGCTTAAAATCTGCACTGGAAGAAACCCTAGTATCCACATGAACACATGGAGATTAAACACACTCCTGAATGATGGATAGGTCAAAGGAGAAATTAAGAAAGAAATAAAAGTATTCCTGGAACTAAATGAAAAAGACAATACAACACATCAAAACCTATGGGACACGTTGAAAGCTGTCCTTAGAGGGAGGTTTATAGCTCTAAGTGCCTACATTAAAAAACCAGAAAGGCCAGGTGTGGTGGCGCACACCTTTAATCCCAGCACTCAGGAGGCAGAGGCAGGCAGATCTCTGTGAGTTCAAGGCCAGCCTGGTCTACATAGTGTGTTCCAGGACAGCTGGGGCTACAGGAAGATCCTGTCTCAAAAAGACCAAAAAAAAAGGAAAGGACACAAATAAATGACTTAACATTGCAATTCAAGACACTGGAAAAGCAACATCAAACAAAACCCAAACCCTGCAGACAAGAAGAAATAACAAAAATCAAGGCAGAAATCAATGAAATTGAATCAAAGAAAACAATGCAAAGAATCAACAATACCAAGAGCTGGTTCTTTGAAAAGATAAACAAAATTGACCGACCGCTAGCCCAATTAACCAAAAGAAAGAAAGAGCACCTCCAAATTAACAAAATCAGAGATGAAAGGGGAAACATCACAACAGACACCAGAAAGATACAGAACATTATAAGGGAATACTTTGAAAACCTAAAAGAAATGGATGCATATCTAAAGGCATGGGAACCACCAAAACTAAACCAAGAAGAGATTAACAGCTTAAACAGACCCATAAGACAAAAAGAAATTGAAACAGTAATACAAAACCTCCCGACCAAAAAAAGCCCAGGACCAGATGGATTTACAGCAGAAGTCTATCAGACATTTAAAGAAGATCTACATCCAACACTACTTAATTTATTCAAAAAGATAGAAATGGAGGGTGAACTTCCAAATTCCTTCTACGAAGCCAGCATCACTCTAATACAAAAGCCAGGTAAAGATACAACCAAAAAAGAAAACTATAGACCCATATCCTCAATGAACATAGATGCAAAAATTCTCAATAAAATACTT